TGCATCCCACGTGGAAGTGCCATTGGTTCAAGTGTGGGCTGTTCCTTATTCCAGCCTGCTGCTGATGTGCACCCTGGGAGACAGGGGTGAGAGCTCAAGCAGTTAGATCCCGCCACCACGTGAGGGCCCTGAGCCCAGGCCCCCAGCTTTGGCCGGGAGCAGCCCCAACCATTGCAGGCTGGGTCTCCCACATGGGTGATGGGGCCCAAGCACTTGGGCCATCTGTTGCTGCTTTCCCAGGCGCCTTGGCAGGAAACTGGATCTGAAATGGAGCAGCCGGGACTCACTGGTGCTTTGATACTAGCTTCAGGGGTCCCATGAGTGTACTGCAGCCTGCAGCTGTGTTGGGAGGATGGAGAATGGCAGTGTTTCTGCTTTGGGAAGGCACAGGGCTTGAAGGAAGCAATAAGTTAGATCCTCTTCTTCCACAGTGTGAGGTCAGTTGTTAAAGCCTGAAACTAGAAAACAGAAGAAGTTTTGTTATGTAGAGGTAACAAGCACACATTCAGTAAGCTTCAGAATGTTGAAGTTCTGGGTGAGAGGAGAAGACACAGGACTTCTGCTTTGTTGCTGAGCCAGAGAACTCTGGCATGTACCAATAGGTGAATGTAGAACTTTGATCAATTAAATGCTAAATTTGTAAATGTAAATATAAAAAAATGTAAGATCTGATAAAATTAAGAACCAGCTCCTGGAAGTGTGTCACACACGGGCGTGGATGAAGGCATAGGGAAAATGGGCACTCTGGTGTGACGGTGAAGATGAGGATTGTCACTGGTCCAGCCTGGATGGAGGCCAGTAGAGCATTCTTCCAAATTCTAAATGTAGCTCCCACTTCTAGTAATTACACTACAGATGTACCAGAGAATGCTCCCACTTTGGACTCGTATGCAGTCAGGGTGGAACCAGTCTGAATGTTCCTCCACATCTGGAACGTGAACATCAGGGAGTGGGCACTAGCATGTGTGTGTGTTGGGATGCACAGATGAGCGCCAGAAGCTCACCTGAGAAACAGAGCTACTTTGATTTCAATGGCAGTGAACTTGATGGCTTAGAGATGGGGATGGCAGGAAGATTTCACCCTGTGCCCTTGTGTGCCTTTTGAATTTAAAGTACTTCTGATGATTACCCATATTAAAAGCAAACTGTAAAAATGATTAAATAGACTGGGCAGTCCATGTGGAAGTTGAATGTGATTTGATTTGTTCACTGGTTTCCATTGTTATTAACTCCAAATGTATGACAGGGCTAACTGAAAAAAATGGGGAATTTAGAACCTTGAGGTTCTAAATGGTTCCTATGCTAGGGTTGGAAAGGTCGTCTTAAGACACAAAGGCGTGTAGCAAAAAGGGAACAGATGGATTGACTGTGTACCTGGAAACAGGTGACACCGTAAGTGCAGAGACATGGCTGTCACAGACTGAAAGGTGTTTGTAAGGCACAGTTGTCAAAGGTTTAGCATCCTGATGATACAGAGAACTCCCATGAATCAGCGAGAAGGATGGGCCAGCATTGTGGCACAGTGGGTTAAGCTGCTGCCTATGGCTCCAGCTTCCCATATAAGCACTGGTTTGAGCCCTGGATGCTCCATTTCTGATTCAGCTCCTTGTTAATGTGCTTTGGAAAGCAGTGGAGAATGGGTCGAGTGCTTGGTCCCCTGCCACCTACATGGGAAACCTGGATGGAGTTGCAGGCTCCTGGCTTCCGCCTAGCCCAGCTGCAGCCATTGTGGCCATTTGGGAAGTGAACCAATAGATGGACAATCCTTCACTTTCTTTCTCTTACATCTGCCTTTCAAATATGTAAGTCCTAAAAATGAGCATAGAAAGGATAAAAATGCCTCAATTAATAATGCACAAAAGACACATACAGTTCATTAAGAAAAAAAAATTAAACTGTGGGGAAAAAACAGTGACCCTCACTAGCAGTCAGGGGGAAGCCCCGTCAAGGAAGGCACAGCAGACAGGAAAAGCCTAAAAATAGTGCAGGTCAGAATTTGGGATGGAACGTGGGGAGATGGATCTTGTGATTTTATCCTTTGGGTGGGAATATAAATTATTCCACTTCGGTGATGTTTGTGAAATAGAAGTTGTCTATAGCTTTAAGAAATTCTAAAACAGGGCCTGGCGCTGTGGCGCAGCGGGTTAACGCCCTGGCCTGAAGTGCTGGCATCCCATATAGGCACTGGTTCTAGTCTCGGCTGCTCCACTTCCCATCCAGCTCTCTACTGTGGCCTGTGAAAGCAGTGTAAGATGGCCCTGGCCCTTGGGGCCCCTGCACCCACGTGGGAGACCCAGAAAAAGCTCCTGGCTTTGGATCGGCACAGCTCCAGCCATTGCGGCCAATTTGGGAGTGAGCCAGTGGATGGAAGACTTCTCTCTCTCTCTGCCTCTCCTCTCTCTGTGTAACTCTGACTTTCAAGTAAATAAATAATTTTTTTTGACAGGCAGAGTTAGACAGTGAGAGAGAGAGACAGCGAGAAAGGTCTTCCTTCCTTTGGTTCACCCCCCAAATGGCTGCCATGGCTGGCACTGTGCCAATCTGAAGCCAGGAGCCAGGTGCCTCCTGGTCTTCTGTGCAGGTGCAGGTCCCAAGCACCTGGGCCATCCTCTACTGCCTTCCCGGCCACAGCAGAGAGCCAGACTGGAAGAGGAGCAACTGGGACAGAATCCAGCACCCCAACTGGGACTAGAACCTGGGGTACCGGCACTGCAGGTGGAGGATTAGCCAAGTGAGCTGCGGCACTGGCCAATAAGTCTTTAAAAAAAAAAAAAAAAAAAAAAAGAGGGAGCTGGACTGGAAGTGGAGCAGCCCAGCCTCCAACCTGTGGGGGAAAAAAAAAAAAGAAAGAAATTCTAACACAAAAAACTGTGTCTTGTGGTGTGTTTATACTGGCATACTTCTGGAAACAACCTTAGCCGTCAGGATAACTTTTAAGTCATTTCCTTAATGGAATAGTAGAGACTGAGACTATGAATTCCAAACCTAGGCCTTGGTTTGGAGCTCAGCTTCCTCTGTTGGGCAGGTGTTGGACTTAGAGCCGTGACAAACCTCTTGGCCGTGGTTTCATGTGTATGATGGAGTAGTGGTACTTAATCTCTTCGGGCTTTTGAAAGAATGAAGCAAGTCCTGGAACAATTCCTGATACCACAGCATCAACAGAAGGCTATTTTTGATATGTATCAACTTGAGAAGTATATAAAATGTAAGGGATTCTTTTAAAGCAAGGTGTGAAGCATTACTGCAGCGTGTGTCATTGGTGTAGCTGTGCGTGGAGAATGTTGCTGTGACCTTAGCTGTCTGCAGAGAGGAACGCGCATACAGGAAGGTGGAGCTGCCTGCAACTCAGTGCCGTCTCTTAGGTGAGAAGCAGGGATGTGGAGTCGCCAGAGAACAGGCTGGGGCTCCAGGTATCTTTACTGTTTCTGTAAAACCACACATGCAAGTACCTGGTGGTTGCGTGAGGTTAGGAACGGGCAGGCTCAGGTAAGAAGAGGTTAGGTACAGTAAGTTCTAGTGTTTTGTGACACAGAAAGGTAACGATAGATCACTACAACTGTATGTTGTTGTTGTTGTTTTAAAATTTTATTTATTTATTTGAAAGTCAGAGTTACATAGAGAGGGAGGAAGAGATAGAGACAGAGAGGTCTTCCATCGCTGGTTCACTCCCTCGAGTGGCTGCAATAGCTGGGACTGAGCCAGGCCAAAGCCAGGAGCCAGGAGCTTCTTCTGGGTCCCCCACATGCGTGCAGGGGCCCAAGCACTGGGGCCATCCTCCTTTCCCAGGACATCAGCAGGGAGCTGGATCAGAAGCGGAGCAGCTGGATCTTGAACCAGTGCCCACATGGGATGCTGGTGTCACAGGTGGCAGCTTTACCTGCGGTGTCACAGCGCCAGACCCACAGTTGTGTGTTTTATGAAGAACTAGAAGAAGGGAGTTTGGAAGCTCCCAGCACAAAGAAGTGACAGATGTTTAAGGAGATGGAAATGCTGATTTCCCTGATTGGATTGTTGTATACTGTATATATGAATCAAATTCTCACAGTATGCCTTGTAAATGTGTATAATTATTGTGTGTCTGTTAAAAGTCAGGGCTGGGCATGTGGCCTAGTGGTTAAGATGCCCACAGCACGTGCTGGAGTGGCTTTGGTGCCCACATCTGATTCCTCTTCCCATCTTGCTGCTAATGCAGACCTCAGGAGGAGCAGTGATGGCTCTGGTAGTGGGGTTCCTGCCGCCCACATGGGAAACGTGGGCCAAGTTCCCAGCTCCCAGCTTCAGTCCCAGCCAGGAGCCATTTCAGGCATTGGGGGGATGAACCAGAAGATGGGGACCTCCTTCCTCAGTGTGTCTCTCCCTCTTCTCAAGTTTAAACAACTACTACTACTAATTTTAAAAATGAAGTAAAGGCGGCTTAATGTTATGTTTATTAAACCTAAATTGTCTGTACTGGAATGTCAGGAATATCAGTTAATCTTTACCTTTGTGTGTTTGAAATATTTTATAATTAGAGATTTTAAAGAAAGGCCTTCCAGGATATCAGAAGGAATTAAGACAATAGTGTGAGTTTTTTTTTTTTTTTAAATAAACTCCTTTTCCCTGTTTTCAAAATGGAAATACATTTCTTGTTTGTTGTAACAGAAAAATACAGTATAAATTCACATGAAAATGTGTGTGCGTGTGACATAGAAAGTGAAGATTCCGGTGCTGTCTGCTCTCTGGTCCTTGCAGGTGTTTGTAAAATGCTCAGTTTTAAAGGATGTTGACAGCTAGAACAACACTCCACACCCTGCTTGCATCTGGCTTTTATCACTTGCCGGGGATGGCGTCTCCCATTTTCACATGATACGGAGAGTTCCACCGTGTACATTCTGGTGTAACGGAGGACATGTTTCGTCCAATGAGACTAATTTGGATATGATTCTGTCCAATGGAAGGATGGTGTAGAGAAAGCTCTGTGGTTTGTAATCTAACAGATTATTTTCTACTTTTTTTAAAAGACATTACTGCAAGAGCATGTCCAGTCGACGTCGTTACAATCGAGACTTGGAGCAGGATGAGGCGTTTATCCCCGTGGGAGAGTCGCTGAAAGACCTCATCGACCAGTCGCAGAGCTCTGGGAGCGGATCTGGCCTTCCTCTGCTGGTGAGTTAAGGGTCCATGCAGGCAGGCTGCTGGGCTGATAGAGAACTTGGCGATCGTAGGGCTGCAGGCGGCTTCACATTGGCTTACATTATGGAAAGTTTTTAAGAGACTGAAGGTAGCAAGAGTAGTTTCTACTTGAAGTGAAGAGAAGTGTGCCCAGGTTTTCAGGTGAGCTGCCTCCTTCCTGTGCTCCTCACAACCTAACATCACGTCGTCAGCATCTCAGATAAGATGCTACAAGTCCACACCTCCCGTCTGTTCCCCTAATGCCATGAATGTCTCCGGTTTTTAACAGTGTGCCTGTTCAGCCAGGCGGATTTTCAGAAAGTTCATGGAAATGGAATTTAGGTTTGTATTACTGCAAAAAGTTTCAAATCTGTGTACACAGGAGTCTTCAAAGGCTCATGGAAAATGTTTATTATAAAGGAAAGCTATGCATGGATTTCAGAATTTTTTGCACCCACAAAAACTTACAATTCCATTTCCATGAACTTTTCGAAGTACGCTCATGAATTAGACAACCCAAAAGCCATCAGTTGGCAAACAGATAGTGTCTGTTGGTACAGCAGAAAAGTGGTCATTGATAAACAGGAACAGACTACTCACACACGCCAAAACCTGGGTGACTTTCAGAAGCCTCGCCTGCTGCGTGAAAGAAGCTGACACACGAGGCTCCCTGTTGGTGTTTCTCTGAATGCGATGCTAGAAGAAGTGTACCGGGGGGCAGGAGGCAGATGGGGGTTGCCAGGGTTGGGGAGAGGGACTGTGCCACAGTACCGAACACACAACCATACGTACGCATTTATCAAAACTCCCTGCCTTGTTTTCAGGAGAGATACATTGATGCATTTTATTATATGTAAAAGAGCCCTCAAGAATCCTGACTCCTAAGAGTTCCAAAAGGGACTCTGTAACAAGTGATACCTAGTGTAAATCAGTTTAGATTGCGTAAGATTGAGCCCGTGTTAGGTGTCTTGCCACCTTGGAGCAGTGTTCTCTGATGATCACCAGTGCTTCTGAAAATGGAAAGTAACAATCAGGGTACATGCCTTGCTCAACAAATACTAATTATACTCGTCATACTTGAGGTGTTGTCCCAGATAAATCCCTATATTGTGTGAGCAGGGGAAGGAATTCAAGCAGAATTCCATCTAGGAATAAGACCATTGCTGATAAGTGTGTGTGCCAGGGAGGGTTTAAGGGGAGACACAGCACTCTCGGGGTGCTGGACACACGAGACGAGCCGTGCAGGTTGGAGTGAGGCAGATAGGAGGGCTCCAGCAGGTGACCCGCATATGGGGCCATGTAGATGGAACCGGGGGTTTTAACTTAGATACAGATTTGGCTGCATAAACTCTAAAACACCCCAAAACTCAGTGGCCTGAAGCAGCAGGTATTTGGGGGTTTACCTTCTGCATGCGCTCCATCAGAGCTGGGTGCTGTCGCTCATGTGCGTGACTGACGGTTCACAGCACACAGAGCTCTCCCCAGGAACAGCAGGAAGGGCAAGCCCCACGCACAGACATCTGTTGGAGTCTGCCTGCAGCACGTCTGCTGCCCAAAGCCTGTAGTGCAAGCTCTAGGGCTGCCCTGGGGCCGCTCTGGCCGACAGCCTGACACGCTGACGTGGGTTAGTCAGGGCCGGTTTATGGCTTCAAAGTACCATTGTGGTGGGTTTCAAAGCCATGCCTGAGTAACCCGTTTCCATGTGGTCTCTGTACGCAGCTGTGCCTGTCTTAGGTTGTCCCCCAGGGGATCTTACCCGTTGTTGACTAACCAGTGCTCAAAACGAGACCACATACCGTGTCCAGGTCTCATGTGTGAAGCACATGGCCACTGCAGTATTGCAGTTGGTCACTGGGCTGTGCTGTGCTTTTCAGTGGGATGGCCGGCCAGGCCCCTGTGTCGGTCTTATTAGCTTCTTTACATCCAGGGCTCAAAACCTTGTTCTTTTCTCTGTAAAGGTTCAGCGAACTATCGCCAAACAGATTCAGATGGTGCGGCAAGTTGGAAAGGGCCGGTATGGAGAAGTGTGGATGGGTAAATGGCGTGGAGAGAAAGTGGCAGTCAAGGTGTTTTTCACCACTGAAGAGGCCAGCTGGTTTCGAGAAACAGAAATCTACCAAACAGTGCTGATGCGACACGAGAACATACTCGGTGGGTACACGCATGGCGCTGGTCAAGGCCACGCTCCAGCAGGGTCTGCGGGGTGCAGGGGGAAGCTTGCCTTCCGGCTTCAGAACCCAGTGAGTGCAGCTGCGTGCACTTGGCTCAGGCAAACCCAGGAGGATGTGCAGCTGAAATACAACACAGTCCTGCATGCCTGCCAGCCACAGAACTTACTGCGGGACTGGGAGAACCGCAGGGTTTCAGACGGAAAGCAGCGCTGGTGTATTGCACAATAACAATGAGAACCAGACCTTCCATACACAATCCAAGCGTTTCATGAATTTTTTTAACTGCCTTGTACCTGTGTCAGCTCAGCAGCCCAACATGCAGCCTCTCTGCACGTCCTGTGCTCAGTCCGTGTCCTCTGCGCCTGGTGCACACAGTAGCAAGTTAGGGACTGTGGTCAGTGTGGTGCCTCAGCTGCTGTCACTCCCCTGCGTTTTATCTTGAGCTGCTCTCTCCCTGCTTTTAATATGGAGAGTGCAAGAGCGAGCATGCAACAAATGCTGGGTTGGATTTCTGAGACGCTGTCACAAACTGCCCCAAACGTACTTAAAGCAACAGGATTTTGTTCTCAGGGCTTTGGAGGCTAGAGGCTAAAAGTTTCAAACCTAGTGTCAGCAGGGCCATACTGCACCAGAAGGCTCCTCGGGGGGTCCTTCCTAGCCTCTCGTGGGCCCCTGCCTGGCACTCCTGGTGTTCCTTGACATGAGACAACTCTCCAGGCCTCCTCCCCGTGTGCCCGGTCTGCATTTCCCTAGAGAAAGGGCCAGCCGCGGAGGATTGGGCCCCACTGTCGTCCCAGATGCCCTCATCTTAACTGCGTTACTTCTGCAAAACCCACTTCCCAAATAAGGTCATCTTACAGGTTCCCGAGGACGTGCGTCTGGGGGAACACTATTCCGCACAGCCAGCACGCACTCACCTCTTTGAGGAGAGGCGGGGAAGGGAGAGAAAAAGATGGCAGTGTTGGAGAGCAGGTGGCCTGCCGGCCAGACTGAGATGGCAGAGGGGGTGAGGCACATATCGAGGGGAGGAGCTCCCTCAGGTAAACGTTTTTGACTTTGTTAGGGTGCCCACTTTTCGACTTGAACTTGAGAGCTCCTTCTGCCAGAGACCCTTGTATGCTGACATGTTGATAACATTCCCCAGGTCATTGTTTAACGTGTGATTTACTCTTAGTCATATTATTGTCACTTTGATGTTTATTAAGATTGTTTTAAACTGATTGCCGCGGCATAGCTGCACATGTACAAAGAGCAGCTACAGGAATTTGGTAGCATATCCAGGAGGTCTTGGCAGGCAGGCTACATCTTGTTACCTGTATGTGGTACCTAAATGGTGCTCATAGCCCGAGTGTGCGGTCATTCCCTTCCTAGCCATCTCTGACGACAGCTAACCTTTCACCTCGTTCACTGGACAGGTTTCATAGCAGCGGACATTAAAGGCACAGGCTCCTGGACTCAACTCTACCTGATCACCGACTACCACGAGAACGGGTCCCTCTATGACTTCCTGAAATGTGCCACCCTGGACACCAGAGCTCTGCTCAAGTTGGCTTACTCGGCTGCCTGTGGTCTGTGCCACTTGCACACAGAAATTTATGGCACCCAAGGGAAGCCTGCCATTGCCCATCGAGACCTGAAGAGCAAAAACATCCTCATCAAGAAAAACGGGAGCTGTTGTATTGCTGACCTGGGCCTTGCTGTTAAATTCAACAGGTGCGGGGGTCTTTGCCCAACCATGTTGAAAGTGTTGTCACCTCCAAAGGGTGTTTCTGTACCTGTTTGTCCTGAGGACATTGCAACTCTGAAAACACGTAGGGACCCTTCGTTAGGTCATATATGCATATAGTTGGAGTTTTATGGGGTTTTCTTGTTAGTAATTACATACTACTTTACATAATTCTTGATTTCCTGCTTTTTGTCTTACATGTCCTTCCTTTTCAGAAGGGTGTTTGTGTAGATCTGCCTCATTCTTTTTTTTTAATTTTAAGATTTATTTTATTTATTAGAGAGAGAGAGAGAGATCTTCCATCAGCTGGTTCACCCCCCAAATGGCTGCAGTGGCTGGAACTGAGCCTGTTTGAAGCCAGGAGCTAGGAGCTTCCTCTGGGTCTCCCACATGGGTGCAGGGGCCCAAGGACTTGGGCCATCTTCCACTGTTCTCCCAGGCCATAGCAGAGAGCTGGATCAGAAGTGGAGCAGCTGGCACCCATATGGGATGCTGGTGCTACAGGCCAGGTCTTTAACCTGCTGTGCCACAGCACTGACCCCCTGCTGCTACTTAACAGATGTAGTTTTCCGTGACCCAACTGTTGGATGTTACTGTTACCTTCAGTTTATCCCTGTTATTAAAAAAGTTTTAGCGAACATTACTATGTTTTATCCATAGAATACAATATGGCCTTGAGCACTTGTACAAGTATTTGTTCCCAATGGATTCCTGGAGAAGGAGTATGTGAAATTCCGACCTGTGGCCTGTTGTCCCCTCACAAAGCAGGCGTCAGCTACCCCTCCTGTGAACAGAGCAGAGAAAGACGCCCTTTCTCCACGACTGCTGGATGGTGCCAGCTGTTTAAACATCAGAGTTACAAAGCTTTTAGGATATGAGAGAGAGAAAGGGGGAGACACTGGTGTAAAATGTCGTGAAAACACAAGCTAGGCTCTTCGTTGGTGGCACTCACCCTGGATACCATCTTGTTTCAGTGACACGAATGAAGTGGATGTGCCCCTGAACACCAGGGTGGGCACCAAGCGCTACATGGCTCCCGAGGTGCTGGACGAGAGCCTGAACAAAAACCACTTCCAGCCCTACATCATGGCGGACATCTACAGCTTCGGCCTCATCATCTGGGAGATGGCCCGCCGCTGCGTCACGGGAGGTAGGCGGTGGGGCGGCCTGCCTGGTCCTACTGGTTTGCCCATCGTTGAAGAAACAGCAGCTGCTGTGGGGTAATTTAGATGTCACGTCTGTCAGAGTCCCCAGGAGCGCCCCCCAGATGCCATGATGGCTCTAGGACTCGGCACGTAGTCATTCTCACGGCTGAGATGTACGGTGAGAGCCACAAGTCTAACTCGGACAAGGAAAGGGCCGGGGGCAGAGTCAGGATGCCGAGCCCCTCCCACTGTGGACCGTGATGACGTCTGTCATGCACTGTCACACAGGGCGCTCACAGCAAAGCTGGTGGTGTGGGCATCCTCCTCCTGGCCACTCCCAAACCCCCGGCTCCCAGAGGGAAAGCAGGTGTCGAGTGCGTACCGTCCAGGAGCAGCCGTGCCTTTACCACAGGGAGAGTTCTGTGTGCACGCAGGGCGTCGTCTTGCCTGCAGGCTCCTAGGCACCAGCCCAGGGCGGCCTTGCAAGCAGGCTTCAGTGAGAAGCCCGGCATCAGGCCCGCTGTTGTCTGAACTCTGGTCTGCAGCTCATGTCTCTCCACTGTGGGACAAAGTCAGCCAGAGGGCTAGACACGCATTTCATTGGTAGGAACAGCCTGCTAGTCAGTGGTCCTGTGTATGGTGTAGAGTAAGTGCAAGGGTTCGCCTTGCCCCCCACCCCCGGAATACTGGCGTTTCCTGATGGGCTGTCACAGTTCTGGGGTGCTGGCTGGAGGGGAGGAAATAATGGGCATGAATAAGAGAAGCCCGTGCACTCACCGTTCGAAGTGGACCCCCAGGCCCTAGCTGTCTTCCTTGGGTAGGAGCTGTGTGGCCCTGTAGCTCTGCAGGTTGGCTGCGCAGTGTGGCCACGGTGTCCCTCTGCCCGCAGGGATCGTGGAAGAGTACCAGCTGCCGTACTACAACATGGTGCCCAGCGACCCGTCCTACGAGGACATGCGCGAGGTCGTGTGCGTCAAGCGGCTGCGGCCGATTGTGTCCAACCGCTGGAACAGCGACGAGGTGAGTGCCGGCTCCCCGCAGAGGGGGCGGGCTTTGGCGCCCACCGCCCTCTCTGCTCACCATTTCTTCTTTGCTTCCAGTGCCTGCGGGCCGTGCTGAAGCTGATGTCAGAGTGCTGGGCCCACAATCCAGCCTCCAGACTCACGGCGCTGCGGATCAAGAAGACGCTGGCCAAGATGGTGGAGTCGCAGGATGTAAAGATCTGAGCTACGCGCTGCAGGCGCCGCCCCTGCCCCTGGGCTCGCCGGGGCCAGCATGGGAGGAGGACTCGAACCTGGCTCGCGCCCGCCCTCACTGCACCTTCCCAGGCTGCTAGCGTCAGACCCTCCCGTATCCTAGAAGCCGGGAACTCGTAGACACTTGGTTTCTATACGAACAGCTGTGTTTTAAATGTGGTATTTGATGCCTTTTTTTATTGGGTTTCTATGAACTGCATAGACTTCAGTCCTGATGAGTAGGGCTCCAGTCAGACTCTGGGTGCTGAGCTGCCTGGTCAGCAGGTGGTGCTTTCTGTGAAAGCCTCCGGAAGATAGAGTTCAGCAGAGGTGGAGAAGCACACGCTTGCCTTCTACCCGAGGACGTTCCATCTGTGCGCTCCGCTTGCCTTTGCAGAGTGGCCCCGAGGGGGCGCCTGGCCTGCCTCCGTCACCCGCCAGCCGCCCTCGGCTGCCCTGGGAGCTGGAAGACAATGACGGACGAGTGCACAGGAAGGTGCTGGTGGCTGCTGGTTTGTGCTTTAAAAATGCAATTTCTGACCGAGAGTCCCCTTCTTTAAAAGCCTTGCGGGCTGGAGAGCTCCCCCACCCGTGTTTCTTCTTAATGTCAAAGTCAGTGTCAAGGCCAAAAGAAGTCTAAAGTGCCCGTGAATCTGGACTGTTTTCCTGCCACCACCCTTTTTTTTTGGGGGGGGGTATTTTGTTGGGAAGAGCACCCTCCCCAGAGCTGGAGCCTCCAGTGCCATAAGCTGCGTCACCTGGAAAGCACCTGCTGTGCGTTGGCCCGCAGTGCCAGTGCCGCTGACTGCCTTCTGTGTTCCTCGTTCTCAGTGACTTTTAAAAGGGAAGTTATTTATATTTTGTGTATAATGTGCTTTACTTGCAAAACCCCTGCTCCCTGACAGCCTGCGGGGGTCACATGTGTCCGTGTATTAGCAGCCAGCTCACGGGGCCCTCAGCCCACCCCCCAGGGGAGACACTGGGGAGAGCGGGACTATGGGGGAGTGTTCAGAATGATCGCGGCCACGGCAGGGCTCCCCATGCCGGGCCCTGTCAGCCCTGGGCAAAAATGTGTCCACTAAGATCGCAATGTTCCTTTATGAGAGGAGTCTCTTGATTAGAAATGTTGTCTCAGAGCTGATGGAAATCCATGCGCAACTGTTAATTAAGCGTGTTGTAGACAACCAGATGGTTTGCGGTTTCTGCGCCCTGCCGTGTGCAGACACTGGAGAGTCGGGAGAGGCTCAGCACCTGGTCAGCACCCGTGAGCACGCAGTGCGCCTGTCACTCAGTAAAGTGGTGCCAGTTTCCTAGATGCTTTCCCGCCTCCAGGAACGGTGCAGGTCCTGCAGCTTGCTACCGCGTAACACCTCCAGATAGCCACCTCCTGCTCAGAACACACAGCTCATGGGTGCATCCCGTGAGATCGACATAGCATCCACGCGGGGATATCACACACGGTCAGAAAGGCTTAAAGTAAACGCGGGCAAATCACAGCACGTGTCCTTCCGTGTCGTTGGAAGCTAAAACGCACATGTGGGTGTCTACACAAATTTGAAGCTTGCCTTATCCGTCTGGATTGTTTAGTAAGTTGCATCTCACATAATCAAAATCGGAAGTGTTTATTAAGATAAGTAAATTTGCATATTGGCAGTACCAAATAACTTGCCTTTTTGCCTTTTCAGAATGTTTCCCCATCTATATATCCAGAAATATATTTTCATCGAGATTGCCACGTGACGTTTTTGAGCCCTGGTTAACCTTGGTTAACCTTGGTTTGTGTATGACTTGATAAACTAAAAATTTTGGTCATCTTAGTATAGGAAATTTATACCGAAAGGCAAATTTCATTCTTAGAAATGCTAAAATGGTATGTGAAGCAAAAAATTGCAGTGTATGAGGTCACAATGATAATGTTTTTGATTAGTGTGGACTGGTGACAGTGATACTGAGAATTAACCCGAAAAAACTTGTTCAACAAAAACATTTCCTAGGATACGATCTTCTTTAAAAAGCAAATGCTGCCAGATTTGGAATCCTGAAATCTAAAAAAAAAAAAAAAAAAAGTTGCATGAAACTTAACCATTTTCTGCTCTCCTTCTCACTCTTACTCTTAAATTTGAAGTTTAGCTACTAAGTGAAGCAATTACTCTGTCAGCCAGTAAGGGGAAGCCCTGTGTGTGTGGTACCACTGTTGATAATTGATGAGACCCTGAAAGTTTAGAATTCAGCATTCATAAATGTCTGGCTTCAGCCAGCCATACCTTTTAAATATCATAAACAGAAAAGCAAAAGCCTAAAGGACCTGGATATGAACAGCGGGAGTGAGTTCTCTTATGCGGCGGCGAGTCTGGGATTAAAGGCTCACCGAGACCCGCTTCCCGTTGTCCTGCAGCTCTCCCTGTGCTCGCTCACTGAACAAGTCTCTGAAGTGCAGCGCTTTCATCAGCTTTTCCTGTTGCCTTCCCAGCGTCCAGGGGTGTTCATAAACTCAGAAAGTGACCTTCACCTGTGGTTTCTGAAAAATCGCGTTTCCCTAGAATGTGCCAGATGTTTTCCCTATTCACTCCTCACAAATACTCAGTACCTCGTTTTTCGGATGCTTTATTTAGAACACAAATGCAGTACAGTTTTTAAAGAATCGTGCATCTCGAGGTGGTCCAGGATTAAATTTGATACTGAAGAATAATTTATTCCAAACAGATTTTTATATATTAAAACATTTCTTGACATATATTTTGTTTTGAATTGTTTCTAAATATCTTGAAATAATTTCAACCGCAGAAATACTGTGTGCGTTTTTGTTAAAGAATCATGGCCCTTGGGCTGTTTAAAAGTGGCAGCATTGGAGAAGAGCTCGGTCAGAGGCAAAGGTCGCCTCCGCGCCCTGTGCTGTGGCGAGAGCCGCGCTGGGACCCGGCCGAGGGCAGCAGCAGGGGCCACCATCCCCATCGTCCCTCAGGAAGGCGTGTGAATGCAGCTCCCGCAAAGGGTGAACTATCGCCGTAATTTTAGCTTGTGCTCTGTACTCTGCTTTTCCGTGGAATTATTTAATCCTCTTAGTGACCTCTGTCCTTTCCATTTACAAACTGAACTGCAGTATATATTGTATAAAGTGAACATATCCTTACAGCCTCATTAGGGAGAGTGTACATAGATGTTGAAAGAAGGGCAAAGACAAGCAATTTTATTATGCAATTGTAAACACCAAAACCAAGAGACTCGTCTTTGATATGTAACACACTAAATGTATTTTGTACAGCATCTGGCCTGAAAGGTGCCTTATTAAGTTTACCATTAATTGCTTTGTTCTATATACAGATTATGTCCAATGTATCATTTTTAAGTAAATAACCTTATTTTAGTATACTTAGTGATGTGTTTGTGGTACTGTGCTGGTTCCGTTTTGTGTATCAGAAGCCACTGGTGAGGTTGTATAACAGAGAAGTTAGTGCCCACGTGTGCTTTGGCCACCAGGACCCCGGCACCGAGCGGGAGTGGGGGGTGACCACGCACACCAGCCTTGGGGTACATGCGGAAGTTACACATTTACTGTGGTGAAAGGAATTTTCCTTTAAAACACAAAACAATGCTTTTTGATGGTAAAAGTAGGCACTCATGGCAGAAATTTGGGGAAGCTAGAAGCAGAAATCCCTCTAAGTTATATTGCAGACATCGGCACCACATTTGAATCTTTATCTTCAGTTTTTATTTTTTTTTTTTTTTTTTTCCTACAGAAGATCCCAGTGTGCCATTAAATACCCATTGAGGACATTTTTTAGTGGCTGCATAATGTTCCACCAAGTAGGTGGAATCATTTATTTATTTCTATGACTACTTGGGTTATTTTCATTGTTTTGGAAAATAGAACCAATGTATTGACCACCCTTGCACATGAGTCTCAAGATGGTGTTCCTACAACCAGCACTGGTGGATGTGAACTTTTTCAGAGCTGCTGTATTTAGGGTGGGGAGAACCAGACCTGCGATTCCTGGTGGGTGCTGTCTGTTGCACCTGCTGTGCCTCAGCACCTGGCCAGGGGCTGCTTTCCAGCCTTTACTTAGAGCAGTGGCTCAGTGCCCTGGCCAGGCGCTGCTCCTGCGGCCCCGCGAAGGAAGCCTCAGCCCACCTTGCCTGAGCTCGCAGTGACATCCTGACCCTCACTGCCCACAGAGGCCGGCCACCTGCCCAGGCTGGTGTCACCGTGTGTGTGGTCACCCCAGCAGTGCTTGCTTGAAAGGGTTACAGAGAGGCAAGAGAAGAGTCTTCCCTGCTGGTTCACTCCTCAGGAGCCTGGAGCCAGGAGCTTCTTCCGGGTCTCCCATGTTGGTTGCAGGGGCCCAAGGACATGGGCCATCTTCCACTGCATTCCCAGGCCATAGCAGAGAGCTGGATCGGAAATGGAGCAGCCGGGACACGAACCGGCGTCCATGTTGGATGCCGGCACTGCAGGTGGCGGCTTTACTGCTACGCCACAGCGCCAGCCCCCTGGCGGCGTGCGGGATGCTTTCTCAGGGCGCTGACAGCAGACACCGGCACTGGTTGGTAGCTCTCAAAAGGTATTCGTGTTGGGTGGGTGGGAGCTCACACAGAAGGCTTGTGGGAGTGTCCACTTAGTGTTAATGGAAGGCGGTTTTCCATAATAGCAGCTTACTTCTAATGCTACGTGATGGGGAACACGCGGGTTTCCCAGGCTTACCAAATACTCGCTTTCCTTCCATCTCTAAAGACGCTGGCCCCCAAACTGGAGCAACAGCTGGTACTCCGTTTTCCCTCCCAGCACCATCGCACTCGGGAGACTGTTTCCAAGGATGCTTTGCCACGAATAGTGCAGACAGAACCAGACCGGGCTAGTGCTCGCTGTTCCGATCAGCCTTGTGGAGGATCTCCGTTTCACCCCAACACTAACTGGCCCCTAAGTTTTCACTTGGAGAGGTCCCTCTGCAGCTGCCTGTGCCCCCGCCATCTGCCACGTCACACACGAGTGAGTTAGCTTTGCTCTGGTCCTTGGGGCAGTCCCTTGCCCTGGGGGGCATGGTCCCCTGATGTCAGTGTCACTGTTGGGGACATGGGAGCTCATTACTGTAAGCTCTGGGTGCAGGGTAAGGGTGGGAATGAATGAGTCCCTCAGAGGCTGGGTCCAGTCCCAGCTCCGCCTCCAATCCAGTTTCCTGCTAATGGAGATGGGAGAGACGGAAGTGGCAGCTCCAGTTCTTGGGTCCCTGCACCCCCATGAGAGCCCCGGATTGAGTCCGCATCTTTAGCCTGGCCCAGCCCCACCTCCAGCTCTAGTGGGTACTTGAGGAGTGAACCAGTGGATGGAAGATTTCTGTGTCTGTCTCTGCCTTCAAATAAGTGAAAAAAATTTTTTTTCAAACATTTAAGGCAGAAGCAGGGACTACGGCTGAAAATTTCACCCATGAGCGCCCTTTGAGGTGGGCTTACTCTCTGGTTTCAGTGGGGTGTGTGTGGTCCGCCTACTGCTCCAGTGACAATTGCAGGTCCCTGGACTTGTCCAGTAGCCTTCTCCCCTGGGTGCTCCACGTGTGCTCGGATCATGAAACCCAAGGTGGTCCTAGATCCCCCAGGACCCCTACCTCTACCTCACTGCTCGTGTACCAGACTTCATGCAGGGACCAGGTACAAGTCCTTAAGGGTCACTTATATTGGAGTTATTTTCAGGCTGGGGAAAGAACTTGGGCTTTTGGGTTTTGAACCTTCAAAGTAGATTTCAGGGTGGGCGTTTGGTGCGTTGGGTTAAGCACCCCATGCTGGAGTGTCTGATTCCAGGCCCAGCTGCTCTGCTTCTGGACCAGCTACCTGCCAATGAGCCTGGGAAAGCTCCCGACACCCACATGGGAGACCGTGATGGAGCTCCTGGCTTCAGCCTGGCGTGGCCCTGGCCTTTACCAGGCCAAATTCTACACCCCTCTGTGCCAGGAGCTTCCTCCGCGTCTCCCACCCGGGTGCAGGGGCTCAAGCACTTGGGCCATCCTCCACTGCCTTCCCAGGCCATAGCAGACAGCTGGATCGGAAGAGGAGCAGCTGGGGCTAGAATTGACACCCATATGGGATGCCAGCGCTTCAGGCAGCGGCTTTACCCGCTATGCCACAGCGCTGGCCCCTTCCACCCGCTTTACCAAGTAGTTTTGCTCCCCGAAAGAAATTGAGACAGAGCTTTGGAGAGGCATCGCTTTATTCCAGAGCAGTCAATACCGATTGGGCATCCCGGTCTCCCCGCACTGCCTCGCTCAGCTCCCGTCCTGGGTGGAGATGCTAACAAGGGGGAGGTTGCCGCTCAGGCAGCCATGTGAGGACAGCAGGTGTACGCCACGCCCGTGGGAGCGAGGCAAGGTCCACCTGAATGTGGCAGATAAACGGGAGATGTGCCTGAGCCTGAAACCGAAGGACAGCTACTCATGTCAGTGCCCTGGGGGCTCGCCGGAGACAAGCCTAATGCCTATGCAGTGCCTGGAGGCTGGCTTCCAATATCGGCCCAAGTGCCACCTGCCTTGAAAACGCTCCCAGAGGAAGGAGTGACGGGGACGCGGGAGCTGGGCCCAGAAGATTCCAACCACAGGAGCAGCCCACCCCCAGGGGAGCTGTGGAGTGCGGGGTGTAGCAGGAACCTCCAAGCCCCGCCCCGCGTTCCTGAGAGGTCGCTCCCCGGGCGCTGCGCTGCGCTCTTACTCCAGAGAGGCGGCCCAGGCCTCCCCGCCACGCAGAAACACCCCGGGCGCGGGGCGCAGGGCGCGGCTCCGAGCGGCAGGCTGCTGGGGCAGGGCTGGACTCGCTGCCGGGTCTTCACCCTGCCCGAGCCTCAGGCCCCGCGGATGGCCGAGTCCAAGGTGGCTGATGAGCCCTGTGCTCTGGGGGGTTCAGGTCCTGAACAGCAGGAAGCCGCCAAAGGTGGTGCTGGGCGGGCTGCTCTTGGTGATGGAGCCCTGGGTCAGCTCGAACCACACCCTGTCCCCCCTCTGCAGCTCCAGCATAGCGAAGGTGGTGGCCAAGCTCACACCCGCCTGCCTGGTGACGCAGACTGGGGTCCGATGGCGACTGCCGAGCACCAGCTGCCCGGTGCCCAGCCCGGGCCCAAATTCAATGCTCACTGCAAACAGGTAGACGCCAGGCTCCGGGGCGAGGAAGTAGCCGTGCTCCGGGAAGTAGCCGCCGCCGACGTTGATGGACGTGGAGTTAAACTTCACCGTGTGCAGGTCAGTGGTCCCCTCGGAAAAGCTGGCGTAGAAAGCCACTGGGAAGCCTGAAACAGGAGGACAGTGCTCAGCGACCCCGAAAACCACCCCCCACCCCTGAGACCAGGCCGGGCGTCGCGAGCTGACTTCCGGAGCACCCTCAGGTTCTCCCTAATGGGGGGGGGATGCCAGGCTGTGGTACATTGTAGCTTAGCGTTTGGGGGGGCTGGTGTTGTGGCACAGAGTGTTAAGCCACATCCCGCAGGGCCAGCATCCCATATGAACGCCGTTCGAGTCCCGGCCACTCTACTTTTGATCCAGATTCCTGGGATCCGACTGTGAAGTTGACCTTGGCACCCACAAAGACATGTTCCCCGTTGGTCCCCTCCCCATACTCTCCCTGCGGGGTGAGACAAAAGTCTTGCTTTTCTCTGGTTCTGGAAGGTTTCTGGAGGTTAGTTCGCTTCGTGTGCAATCGCACCCTAAGCCCTGCAGTTTCCCCTCAGAGCCCAGCAGGAGGCGCACTCGCCCAGCTGGAAACAGGCCGGCCTGCAGCGCCCCCTGCCGGCGCTCCGTCTTCCCTCTACCCGGTCCCCGCCTGCGCTGCAGATGAGCCCAACCAGCCCGTGTGGGCTCCGCACGCGCTTCCCGCAAAGGGTGGAAAGGTTGTGTAAACTTTGAGCGTGCTTCCCTGAGGCGCGCCCCCACATCCCTGCAGCTATCCTGCGAGACACGCAAGAGGACTTTTTTTTTTTTTTGACAGGCAGAGTGGACAGTGAGAGAGAGAGACAGAGAGAAAGGTCTTCCTTTGCCATTGGTTCACCCTCCAATGGCCGCCGCGGCCGGCGCGCTGCGGCCGGCGCACCGCGCTGATCCAAAGGCAGGAGCCAGGAGCCAGGTGCTTCTCCTGGTCTCCCATGGGGTGCAGGGCCCAAGCACTTGGGCCATCCTCCACTGCACTCCCTGGCCACAGCAGAGAGCTGGCCTGGAAGAGGGGCAACTGGGACAGAATCCGGCGCCCCGACCAGGACTAGAACCCGGTGTGCCGGCGCCGCAAGGCGGAGGATTAGCCTAGTGAGCCGCGGCACCGGCCGAGGACTTTTTTTTTTAAGGACACAAATATTTTGAAAGAGCAAAATAGTACAGTAATAAACAGATACCCTAAACCGTTGGGCA